AATTACATCACATGAAGAGGCACAAAAGACCTATTATAGTGGAGTGAAAGAAGAGAGAGGGGTGAGCATTGTTTCAATGTTATTCTCATTATATTTGACTCAAAAAGGGAATAACATACACACTCAGTTGGGTATAGAAATAGGGAAATAGTAGGTGAAAGGGGAAAGAAAAGGGGAGGGGGAAGCTGATAAAAGGGAGGGCAGAATAGGAGGGGAAAGGGGAAAGGAAAGGTGGGGCTGATAGAAGGTAGGGCAGACTGAACAGGGTGTTGGTCAGAAGCACACTGATCAGGAGGGACAGGGTGAAAGGAGAGAGAAAAGTATAAATGGGAGAAAATAGGATGGAGGGAAATACACAGTTATCATCACTGTGAATGTGATTAGAATGAACTCTCTCATAAAACAGAAGTGGATAGCAGAATGGATTAAAAAACAGAATCCTACAACATGTTGTTTATAAGAAACACATTTGATTCATAGAGATACACACAGAGTAAAGGTAAAAGGCTGGAGCAGAGTATATTATGCTTCAGCTGAAGTAAAAAAAAAAGCAGGGATGCCAATTCTGATCTCAAAGCACAAGCAAAAATAAATTTAATTAAAAGATTTAAGGAAGGAACCTACATCTTGTTGAAAGGTACCATAGACAATGAAGTAAAATCAATGCTAAACATATATGTACCAAGTGGTATAGCATCCAGATTCTTAGAGGAGAAATTAAATGAGTTACAGGAAGAAATAGACATCAGAACTATACTAGTGAGGTACCTCAACCTCCCCTTCTCAGAACTAAATAAATCTGGTTTGTTGGTTGTTATTCTTCATTCTTGAAGAAGGCCAAAATGATATCACTATGTTAGAGTAAAGTTATAGTGTATCTGACTGTGGCTGATCAGATGAATACAAGCTCATAATACTTTGTCACAGGTTGGGGACAAATAATCCATGTAAACATTTGGGGTGGATTCTCTAAATTTGTGTATCTCACATTTCTTTTGAGCTATTTTAATTCTGCTTTGCTCATAGAGCACAGTACCTTCTCTGATGAGGGCATGCCATGCTGGATGGTCCTATGCCACCGTCTCCCATATCACATAACCAATTCCAAAGTTCTTACCACAAAATAGACAAGAAAGAAGTTAAAGAGGTGAGTAGAATTTTAGAAAAGTTAAATGTGATAGACCTCTGGAGAAAATTGAATGGGAATAGAAAGGAATATACCTTTTTCTCAGAGGTACATGGCACCTACACAAAAACTACCACATTTTAGGGCATAAAAACCTAACAATCAAATGCAAAAAGGCAGAAATATTAAGTGCATCCTTTTCATATCATGATGCAATAAAAATTACATTCAATAAAGGGCCATAGAAACATAGGCTAAAAATTAATTGGAAACCAAATAATCTAATCCTGAAGAACAAGTGGGTCAAGCAACAAATCATAGAAACAATCAATAATTTCATTAAAGAGAACAACAGTAATGAGACAACATACTAAAACTTCTTAGGGGGAAATTGTATATTTCTAAATGCTTACATGACTGAAATAGAGAAAGAAATGATCAATGAAGTGGCCATGTAACTAAAAAAGCTAGAAAAAGAACAAATTAAAAAATCTCCAATGAAATATGAAATTAGAAATTCTGAAAATCAAAGGATAGATTAATAAAATTGAAAGTAATAAAACTATTAAATTACATAAATAAATAAAACTAAGAGCTGGTTTTATGGAAAAAAACAATAAAATAGATAAAGCTTTGGTAAATTGATTTTAAGAGAGAAGAAAACCAAATTAACATTATGAAAAATTAAAAGGTTGAATTCACCACCAATAAAGAGGAAATGAAAGCAATAATTGGAAGCTATTTTGCCCAACTTCATGACAATAAATCTGACAATCTAAGTGATATAAATTAATATTTACCAAAATATAAATTGCCCAGATTAACAGGCAAGGAAAGAAAATATTTAAATAACCCAATTTTAGAAAAAGATATTGAACAAACCATCAGTGAACTCCCTAAGAAAAAAATCTCCTGGGACAGATGGATTCACAAGTGAATTCTACCAAATATTTAAAGAACAATTAATTCTAATGCTATATAAGGTATTTGGAAAAATAGATGAAGAAGGAGTTCTACCAAATTCCTTTTCTGGCACAAATGTGGTGCTGACACCTAAACCAGGAAAAGCTAAAACAGAGAAAGAGATAGAAAGAGAAATTCCATTTAAAATAACTGTAGACAATGTAAAATATTTGAGAGTCTATCTGCCAAGAAAAACCCAGGAACTGTATGAATACAAATACAAAACTCTTTTCATACAAAATAAAGTCAGATCTAAACAATTGGAAAAATATCAATTGCTCATGGATAGGCCAAGCTAATGTAATAAAAATGACAATTTTACCTAAACTAATTTACTTATTCATGCCATACCAATCAAACTACCAAAAAAATTACTTTATAGAGCTAGAAAAAAATAATAATGAAATTCATCTGGAAGAACAAAAAGTCAAGAATATGAAGGGAATTAATGAAAAAAGTGTAAAGGAAGTTGGCCTAGCCATACCAGCTCTAAAACTATTTTATAAAGTGTCTATCATCAAAACCAGCTGGTACTGGCAAAGAAATAGAGTGGTAGATCAGTAGAATAGGTTAGGTACATGAGACACAGTAATCAATGACCATAGAATCTACTCTTCGATAAATCCAAAGACTCCAGCTTTTGGGATGAGAACTCAATACGTGATAAAAATTGCTGGGAAAACTGGAAAACAGTATGGTAGAAACTAGGCATAGACAAACATCTCACATCCTATACCAAGGTAAGGTCAAAATGGGTATATGCTTTAGACTAAAAAGGTGATGCCATTAGTAAATTAGGAGAGCAAAGAATAGTTGACCTGTCAGATATATGGAGAAGGGAGGAATCTATAATCAAACAAGAGATAGAGAACATTATAAAATGTAAAATGAATAATTTTGATTACATTAAATGAAAAAGGTTTTACACAAACAAAACCAATGCAACAAAGATTAGAAGGAAAGCAGAAAACTCAGAAATAATATTTACAGACAGTGTTTCTGATTAAGGCCTCATTTCTAAAATACAGAGAGAATTGAATCAAATTTGTAAGAATACAAGTAATTCCCCAATTGATTAATGGTCAAAGGACAGGAACAGGCAGTTTTCAGATGAAGAATTTAAAGCTATCGCTAGCCATTTGAAAAAAAATGTTCTAAATCATTATTGATTAGAGGAATGCAAATTAAAACAACTCTAAGGTGATACCACCTCATACCTATGAGGTTGGCTAATATGACAGAAAAGGAAAATGATAAATGTTGGAGAAGATGTGGGAAAATTGAAACACAAATACATTGTTGGTGGAGTTGTGAACTAATCCAACCATTCTGGAGAGCAATTTGGAACTATGCCCAAAGGACTATGAAACCGTGCATACCCTTTCCTTGATCCAGCATGCCACTACTAGGTCTACATCCCGAAGAGGTCATTAAAAAGGGGAAAAGAACCACATGTACAAAAATATTTCTAGCAGCTCTTTTTATGGTGGCAAAGAATTGTAAGTTGAGGGGACGCTCATCAATTGGGGAATGGCTGAACAAGTTGTGGTATATGAATGTAATAGAATACTATTGTGCTATAAGAAATGACAAGCAGGTGGATTTCAGAAAAACCTAGAAACTTACATGAAGTGATGCTGAGTGAAGTGAGAAAAACCAGGAGAACACTGTACACAATGATAGCAACATTATGCGATGATCAACTATGATAGACTTAGCTCTTCTCAGCAATGCAATGATCCAAGACAATTGCAAAAGACTCATGATGGAAAATGCTATCCACAGACAGAGAAAGAACTATGGAGTCTGGATGCAGATCAAAGCATACTATTTTCACTTTTTCTTTTCTTTCTCATGGTTTTTCCCTTTTGTTCTGATTCTTCTTTCACAACACGACTAATGTGGAAATATGTTTAACATTGTTGTACATGTACAATTTATATCAGATTGTTTGCTGTCTTGGGGAGGAGAAAGAGAAGGGAGGGAGGGAGAAAAATTTGGAGATCAAAATCTTACAAAAATGAATGTTAAAAACTATCTTTACATGTAATTGGAAAAAAATAAAATACTATTAAGTCCTATCCATTCTACATATAGCTTCCAGAGAGATTTGTTTGACTATATCACATCTTAATTCAATAAACTCCATTGGTTCCCTCATATTTCAAATGTCAAAGATGAACTACTTTGTTTGGTATTTAAAGTCAACAACCTTGCCCCCATTTACCTTTACAGTCTTATTGTATAATCCTCTTCATGTGTACTATGATCCAGCCAAACTGGACTTCTTACTCTTTTCATACATGATTCTTCCTCTCCCATTTCAATGTGTGTCCCCCATGGTTGGAGTGCACTCCTTCCTTACCTCCACATCTTGTAATTACTATAATCCTTCAAGACTCAGTCCAAATGCCACTTTCTTTGTGAAGCTTTCCTTGTTTAACTTAGCTGCTGTGTCTTTCCCCCAAAATTGCCTTGTATCTATTTTGATTGTATGTATATACATATGTCCTACATACATGTGTATCTGTATGTGTGTGTTGTGAATGCATGTATTGTGTGAATGTGTGCACATGTATGTTGTTTTCCCTAATAGAATGTAAGCTTCTTGAAGGCAGGAACTGTTTCATTTTTGCCTTTGTATCTCCAGTGCCTAGCCCAGTGCCTGTCACACAGTAGGTAAATTTAATAGATGCTTGTGGATTGTTTGATTACTGAGTATGTCCTGACTTATTGAGGACTGGTCCCAGTGTGTTCTAACCATAGACCACAGTCTAGCGTTGCTGGAGAACGGGGTAAAGTAGGGTGCTTGGTCCCAAGGTACTGAAGTTCCTAAACATTTGTTTCCCTGTTGAACTCTGTTTCTCTGTATGGGCAATACACATGACCAAATGATTGCTTTGACCCTCAGCCTCTGCAGCCTGCCATATACTGGTGGTATCTCTTGGAGCTCAGCTTCTACCTCTCCTTGTTGCTCACTTTGAGCCTCGATGTGAAGAGAAAGGTGAGTCTGGAGGGAGCCCAGGTTTTGGGGAAAGCTCTTGTCTTCCCAATCAAGAGAGAAGAGTAGAGTGAAGAGCCTGGTTTCTAGTGTCTGCCTCCATGAGAAAAGTATCTTGCTTGGCCCTGGCCCTTAAGGTCAGTCCCAGTTGTAAGCATAGGCCCTTGTCCCACGGAAACAGTAAGGGCCGACCTAATCCACTTGAACTTGATGGATTCTGTGGAAGACTAAGGGAGCCAGAGGCTAAAGGGCCGATTCCATTCTGTTCAAGTCAATAGCCAAGGTGCTGTCTCTGGAGCTACTACTACTAGGTCCATATCCAACCCAATCACCAGCTCTCCCTCCACCATACTGTCAGACACTTGACCTTCTTCCTTCATCTCCTCCTTCTACCTCCCCTTCAAAGACTTGAACCTTCCCAAAGAGGACTGTCATATAATCAAGGCAGAAGTGGTGGGAGGAAAAGTGTACCTGCCCCGAGCATGAGCAAGGACAGCTACATCCTCTGGGAAGTAAGCAAGGTCCTGGCCTCATAACTGCCCTCCTTTTCCCAGGACTTCAAGGAGCAAGTCGTCCATCATTTTGTTACTATCACTTTGATCCTATTCTCCTATTCCGCCAACTTTGTGTGCATTGGTGCCCTGGTGCTGCTGCTACATGATGTGTCCGATATCTTCATGGAGGTGAGTGAGCCTACCCTGGATGAGTATAGCTGAGATCTTCCTGAGTCCCTGCAAGCCTCATGTGTACAAGGGCTATAGCCTCAGAGAAGGGAATAGAGCTGTCTCTAAATTCCCTCACCATTATAGTAATCCATTGTGCGGGTGGCCAGGAGTCCATAATAGAATTAGGGACTCAGGGCTCACATGGCCCTGACTCCATCCCTGAAGAGAATGGGAATGACCTCAAAGAGAGAGGTGAGACTTTGTCTCTCCCTGGCTCTGTCCCTACCAGGAAGTAAAGTCCAGGGAAATCTCTAAAAACAAAAGTTAGTTATTCATATCTAGAGTCTTCCACAAAATAGAGGGGGAGGCATGCTAACTGTGTCCTTCCTTAAAAAAAACCCACCACAATTCTTGTTATAAAATATGGGTATTAGGTGTAGAACAGCTGTTTATTTCCCCTAACATAGAGAATGTGTGATGCAGAAGATTCAAGTGTGCATTAGCATATGCAGTTAGTTCTGCTATAATGTGACATAAGCATTCCCAAGAAACATCATGCCACCAAAATCACCCAATAAAAAACACAGAGCTTTTGAAGATGATGAGGTTAAAAGCATAACATTCAAAAACTTCATCAGTAACACATAAAAAGATAGTAACCTAATAAAAAAGATAGTATAGTTTAATACATATTAAATGGTTAAGAAGTACATAAATAGTACAAAAAATAGGGGCTATGCCTTTGCCTTTGCCCTTGGGCTGCTGTTCCACTTGTACCTTTGTTGATCATGTATAAAAACTTCACAACCAAATGCAGAAAGGCAGAAGTATCAAATGCATTCTTTTCAGATAATGATGCAATAAAAATTGCATTCAAATAATGCCATGGAAATGTAGAATAAAAATTAATTGGAAACTAACCTACTCCTAAAGAATAAGTGGATTAAAGGACAAATCATAGAAACAATAATTTCATCAAAAAAAATTACAACATTGGACAATATACCAAAATTTATGGGATGTAGCCAAAATAGTACTTAGGAGAAATTTGTGTCTCTACATGCTTACATTAATAAAATAGAGAAAGAGCGGATCAATGAATTAAGAATGCAATTAAAAAAACTAGAAAAACAAATCTTAAATTCCCAATTAAATACTAAATTGGAAATTCTGAAATCAAAGGAGAAATTAAGAAAATTGAAAGTAAAAAAACCCCATTGAACTAAGTAAAACTAGGAGTTGGTTTTGTGAAGAAAAAAACCCCACACAATCAAATAAATTAGTAGTGTCAAAAATGAAAAAGATGAATTCACCAATGAAGATGAAATTAAAGCAATTACTGAGAGCTATTTTTTTCACAACTGTCAATAAATTTGACATAAGTGAAAAGGATGGGTATTTACAAAATTCTAAATTGCTCAGATTAACAGAAGATGAAATAGAATACTTAAATAATCCTATTTTAGAAAAAGAAATTGAACAAGCCATCAATGAGATCCCTAAGAAAAAGAATTTGCAAATGAATTCTATCAAACATTTGAAAAACAATTCCATTACTGTGTTAATTATTTGGAAAAATAGCCAAAGAAGGATTCCTTCCCAGTTTCTTTTATGGCACAATTACAGTTGAATCAGGAAGAGCAAAAACAGAGAAATAAAACTATTTCCCAATTGCCTTAATGAACATTGATGCAAAAATTTTAAATAAAATGCTAACAAGGAGATTACAGTAAAATGTCACAAAGGTTATACATTATGACTCTGTGGGATTTATACCAGAAATTCAGTGCTGGTTCAAAATTTTGAAAACTATCAATAAAATTGACCATATCAATATCAAAACCAAGAAAAATCATAGGATTATCTGAATAGATGCAGAAGAAAGCTTTTGATAAAATACAACACTATTCCTCTCACAAACACAAGAAAGCATGTGAATAAATAGAGCTTTCCTCAAAATGATATCTAAAGCCATCAGCAAGCATTTTCTGTAATGGGGATAAGCTAGAAGCCTTCCCAATAAGATCAGAGGTGAAACAATGATGCTCATTATCACCACTATTATTCAATATCGTACTAGAAATGTTAGCTATAGCAATAAGAGAAGAAAAAGAAATTGAAAGGAATTAGAATAGGCAATGAGGAAACAAAACTATCAATCTTTGCAGAAGACATAATGGCATACCTGAAGAATTCTAGAGAATCAACTAAAACACTAGTTGAAATAATTAACAACTTTAGAAAAGTTGCGAGATACAAAAAAAATTTTTTCATTAATCATCAGCATTTCTATATATTGCCATTCCAGCAGGAAGAGATAAAAAGACAAATTCCATCCAAAATAACCATAGATAACATAAAATATTTGGGGACAAACCTGGGAACTATATGAATAAAATTGCAAAACATTTTTCAGATGAATAAAGACAGATCTAAACAACTGGAGAAATGTCATTTGATAGGCTGAGCCAATATAATAAAAATGACATTTTAACCTAAATTAATTTACTTATTTAATGTCATGCCAATCAAACTACTAAAAATTATTTTATAGATTTTGAAAAAATAATAAAATTCATCTAGAAGAATAAAAGGTCAAGAATATTAAGGGAATCAAGAGGAGGGGGCAGAATGTGAAGGAAGGTGGTCTAACAATACTAGATCTCAAACAATTACAAAGTAGTAATGATCAAAACAATCTGGTACTGGCTTAGAAATAGAGTGGTAGAACAGTGGAATAAAGTGGGTACACAGTACATAGTAGCAAATAACCATAGTAATCTAGTGTTTGGTAAATACAAAGATTCAAGCTTTTAGAACTGGAACTCACTATTTGACAAAAATTGCTGGGGAAAAAAATAAATCAGTTTGGCTGAAACTACGTATAGACCAATGTCTCACACCATATACCAACATAAGGTCAAAATAGCTGTATGATTTAGACAGAAAGGCTCGTAAGAAAATTAGAGGAGCATGGGAAATTTTACCTGTCAGATCTATGGATAAGGAAAAATTTATGACCAAACAAGAAGATCCTGTAAAATGGATAATTTTGAGTACATTTTTTAAAAATTGACAAATAAAACAAATACAGCTGAGATTAGCAGGAAAGCAGGAAACTGATGGCATGGGCAATAAGGTGGGTGATTTACAGAAAGTTTCTCTGATTAAGGCCTCATTTCTCAATATGTAGAGAATTGAGTCAAATTTATAAAAATACAAGTCATTCCTCAACTGATAAATGGGTAAAGGCTATGAAGAGGCAGTTTTTAGAAAAATAAATTGAAGTTATCTATAGTCATATGAAAGAATGTTCTAAATCACTATTGATTAGAGAAGTGCAAATCAAAACATCTCTGAGATACCACCTTACATATATCAGATTGGCTAATATGACAGAAAAGTAAAATAACAAATATCAGAGGGAATATGGAAAAATTGGGACACTAATACATTGTTGGTAGAATTGTGAACTCATCCAGCTATTCTGGAAAGCAGTTTGGAATTACTCCCAGAGGACTATCCACTACCAGTTCTGTATCTCAAAGAGATCAAAGAAAAAGGAAAGGGATCTATATGTATAAAAATATTCATAGCAGTTCTTTTTGTGGTGGCAAAGAATTGGAAATTGAGGGGCTTCCCATTGATTAGGGAATGGCTGAACAAGTTGTGGTATGTGAATGTAATAGAACGCTATTGTGCTATAAGAAATGATGAGCAGGATGGTTTCAGAAAGGCCTGGGAAAACTTACATGAATTGATGCAAAGTGAGGTGAACAGAACCAAGAGGACATTGAACACAGTAACAGTCATATCATAAGGAGGATCAACTGTGAATGACTTAGCTATTCTGACCAATACAATGATCCAAGACAGTTCTGAAGGATTTATGATTAAAAATGCTATCCACCCTCAGAGAAAGAACTGATAGAGTCTGAATGCATATTGAAACGTAATTTTTTTTTCCAATTTCTTTATTTTTCTTGTTATTTTTTTTGTAACATGGCTAACGTGGAAACATGTTTTACATGATTATAATCATAATTTGCATGATATAATCAATATCATGTTTCTTGCCTTCACAATAAGTGGGGGACTTGTGGGAGGGAGGGAAAGAATTCAGAACTTTAAAAAATTAATGAATGTGTAAATAATAAAATTTTTAAATGGTCTCCCTTACTTATCTCCCTCCACTTCAATCCATCCTCCACTAAGCTGTGTAAGTGGTTTTTCGGAAGTGTAATTCTAATTATATCACCCTCACTATTCTACAAACCCAGTGGCTCTCTATTATCTCTTTTTGTTGTTGTTTCATCATTTATCAGTCATATGTGATTCTTTGTGACCCCATTTGGGTTTTTTTTGGTAGATAGTGGAGTAGTTTGCCATTTCCTTTTCCAGCTCATTTTACAGATGAAGAAACTGAGGTAAACAGGGTTAAGTGACTTGCCCAGGGTCACACAGCTAGTAATACTGCGAGGTCAGATTTTAACTCAGGAAGAGAAGTTTTCCCAACTCCAGGGCCTGGTACTCTATCCAATGTGCCACCTAGCTGCCATGGTTAATGATTAAATGATACCTTTATTAGGCATTTAGAGATCTTCAGAACTTGGCCTCTTCCTATCTTTCCAATCTAATTAAACTGTATTTCCCATCACGGATTGTATGGTCCATCCATGGTGGCCTATTTGTGTTCCTCATGCTCAACACTCATTTCCTGCCCCTTTGCTTTTGCCTTGGCAGTCCCTCTGGCTTGAAATGAGCCATCCCTCCTCACCTCTGCCTCACAGAATCCCTGGCTTCCTTCAAAACTTAGTTCAAGTACCACCTTATGTAGAAGACTGTGCCTAGCCCCCACCTGCTGGTGCTACGCCCCTTCCCTTGAAGGGAAAAAGATACTTTTGGGTAGAGAACTGTCAGTACTCAGGCAGGAATTTTAGGAATTGACAAATTTGAGAACATCTAGCACAGAAGTCACCAATCTCTTGTGAGTTCACATCCTTCTCTGTAAAACATTTTTTGAGCTTGCATCTCCTCCATCTCCGTGTTTATTTATAAGTTATTTTTATGTCCCTTTGCACTCATAAATACATAGCAAAATGCACAAATGTAAATTTTGAAAAGAAAAGAAAAATGAAATAAAAATTTAAAAATTATCTATCAATGTACAAAAAACATTATTTTCTTGAGAGCAATGTGACTGAATATGCTTCATTTTTTTTTTTTAAATCCTGCGTATGCCTTGTTTATTGGTAAGAAAGAGCTAAACTGAAATCCAGACAGGCCTGGGTTCAGGTCTCACCTCTGACACATACTGGCTCTGTGATACCAGGCAAATCTCTGAATTTTCAGTGCTCTAAGCCAGAAGTGGTAGTGAACAACACTCCACAGCACAGTGGGAACCAGATTAAATGTAACCAAGAAATATTTAACAAAGTAACTAAAAATACGGTAGAAGATAGACAATGTTAATATGTGGTTTTCTAAGGCAATATGCAGCTGAGGAATCCTGATGTCAGGTTTAATGACTCTTGCTGTCTTGTTTGAGTTTGACACCACTGCTCTAGGCAAAGACGCCAACCCGAATTGATAGGGCCTATTTCCTCTTCCCGGAGTTCCCTAGACCAGTGAAATCACAAAGCTGGGCTCTATCCCTGTCCCTATCTAATAATTAATGGGTTAATTAGGTTACTGTGGCTATTCAAGCAGGTTTCTTTTCTTTTTTTATTTTTTTAAAGATAATGCTTTATTAAGAGAAAAAAATATAACAATAAGTCATAACTGTCAATGAACAAAGCAGTGTCAGTGCAAAAATAACAAATAAAATTGAATTGTTTATTTCAACACTGCAAAGAGTACTTGATTTATGATGGCTTCACACACTAAGTTAGATGGCCCAGTGGCTATTATATTCAAACTGGAGTGAGGAAGATCTAGTTCAAATCCTGCCTCAGACACTTAATAATTGTGTGGCCCTGGGCAAGTCACTTAACTTCTGTCTGCCTCAGTTTCTTCACCTGTAAAATGGGGTTAACAATAGCACCTACTCCCCGGGGTGATTAATGATATCATATTAAAATGAAATTATATTTGGAAAGTACTATATACATGCTAGCTACTGTTATTGTTTGTAAGTTTTAATTGTGTTTTTGTATGAGCTTGAGGAACAGAAAATAGGCCAGCTTGGTTAGAGAGTAAAGTGCAGGAAGGTGAGTAATGAGGTTAGAAGGGTAAGTTGGAACTAGGTCATGAAGTGCTTTGAACGCCAAACACAGGATTTATATTTGATCCTGGAGGTGATAAGAAGCCACTGGACTTTTCTAAGTAAGGGAATGATATGGTCAGACCTGCACACCTGTACTTTAATAAGATTACTTTGGCAGCTGAGTGGAAAAGGAACTATAATGGGGAAAGACTTGAGGCAGGGGGTCCAATTAGGAGGCTGCTTACAGTAATCCAGGCAAGAAGAACTAACCCTAATTCTGATGGCTGTGTAACTGGAGAAAAGAGGATGTAGATGAGAAATGCTGTGGCAACTGCTTGAATATGTGTGTGGGGAGTTGTGGCAAAAATGAAGGGTCAAGGATGATGGTGAAGTTTCAAATCAGAGTGACCAGGGGTGTGGTGCCTTCCAGGAAATGGAGAAGTTCTGGAGAGGAGTGGGTTTGGGGGGTATAGATCTACACGGAATGTAACAACCCAGGCATGTGTGTTTATTCAGTGACTAGCTCTGTCCTACTCAAAATTAAAAGGATAGGGTAGGGCTCTTTTTCACTGGTTAATGCCCTGAAACTTGGCTCACTTTCCAAGGGACATCTTTAGGCTGCATATAAGGAAAAACTCTCTAAGGCTCAGAGCACTCTGAAAGTAGAATGGATTGTCTGTGAGATGTAATGAGTTCCCCATCATTGTAGGCCTTCAGGTGAAATGAATACTTATCTAGGGGGACCCTTCAACAAGGGTATGTTGTACTAGATATCATCTTAGGCCCCTCCCAATTCTGGGTTTATGTATTACCAAAATTCCCTCTGTCATCTCCTTCCAGGCTTGTAAGATGTTAATTTACGCACAGTGGAGTCAAGCTCGAGACATAATGTTCATCCTCTTTGCCCTGGTGTTCTTCATTAGCAGACTCATTCTCTTCCCAATCAAGTGAGCCTGGTCCTAAGAGGTGGGGTGGGTTAAGGGCAGGGAGGAGGAAAAGGGTCTGAGTCCTGGGGACCTTCTGCTGCCAAGACCTGCCTCCTAGAAAGAGGAGTAAGTCTCTTGCCTAACAAGTCTTTCTATGTGTGAGAAAGATGGGATAAGGTCAAGCCAGGGGCCTTTTAGGATGTTCTTCTCCCATCCCAGTGGCTTCTCACTCTGTCCCTCCCATTTCTTTGGGGGAAGGTGGGTTGTTTCTGGTGGCCAACATGTCTGAGTCCTGGTAGCCTGCCTCCTCCCCCTTCCCACATTGTAACACTCATTTCCTTTCTGTCTTACAGAGTCCTCTACACTACTTCCTATACTTTCTTGACCAACTATCAGGTCTTCTTTGGATACTATTTTGCTAATGCCCTCCTGATGATCCTGCAGGGTCTCAATGTCTTCTGGTTTTTCCTCATCTTCCGAATGTTCTACAAGTTTTTATCAGAGGGCCAGGTAGGTACAAACCTTGCCCTGGCCTACTCTCCCTTCCCCCAGTCCATGACCATTAGCAGAAGAGAAGGGGGGAAAAGCAGAGGGGTATCAAAGATGGAAGAGAGCATGGAAGTTCAGGCCTGGCATCCTAGTGCCAATTGGCACCCAAGCAGTGTCTGCAAGGCATCTTACTACCCAGTATCCTTGTCTTTCACCTCGTCTTTCCCAATCTCTTTTCTCCTTTCTCTACTTTTCTTCTTGTATCCTCTATCTCTCTCTCTGTCTCTGTCTTTCTCTCCCCTCTTCCTCTCTTTCTCCATCCTTCCCTTTCCCCCCAGTCCCATTTTCTCTTATCTCCCTTCTCTTCTCCTTCCTCTCTCTCTCTCTCTCTCTCTCTCTCTCTCTCTGTCTGTCTCTCTCTCTCTCTGTCTCTCTCTCTGTCTCTCTGTCTCTCTCTCTCTTTCTTATTTTTCCACTCCAACTCTGTCCATTCTTTTCCACTCTGTCTCATTCTGCATATTCAGTCAGGTGCCAAATATTGTCACTTCTACCTCTAGAATATCTCATCGTTTTAAACCCTTCTTCTGTATTCATACACCTATTATCCTAGTCCAGGACCTCACTATCTTTCACCTGAACTATCTAATTCATCCTTCATACAACTTAAAAACAGTTTTCCCAAAACACAGGTTAGACCAGAAAGAAAGGTGATGATAGAGAGGACAGTATATTGGAGAAAATGAGAAAGGATGGGATCAAGGGTGTATGTATATCAAGGAGTTTGCCTTGGCAAGGAGAAAGGCCACCATTTTTATGTAAGAGAATGGTGGATGGAGAGATAGTGGGAGAAGATGCCTCAATGATGTGAGAAGAGGAGGAGGGGAGATAAGGGAACTCTCATTGAATGGTCTCAATTGTTTCAAATTCAAAAGTAGGAGGTGAGGTCCTCAGCTGAGAATAGAGTGAACAGTACTATGGGAGTCTTGAGAATAGATTCAAAGGTTTGGAATTTCTGTTGTGGTGAGTGGCCTAACAAATCAATTAGGAAAGTATGAAAGGGTTCCCTTGGTTCAGTGAGAGCTCAGTTGAGCAAATATAACATGAATTTGTGGGGGATCTCAATTATTATGGCCTTGTAATTTTCTCAACCTCCATTCAGTAGCATGTGAATAGGAACAAAGGAGATAGGTGGTGGGAGTAATCCAAGGTTAGGGTTTGGCAAAGTATAATAGCTAATAGGACAAGGAGGCAAGAGATTCAAATGGAAAGTATACCATCCAGTGGGACTGATTGACCAAGGAGTCAAAATAGGAAAGAAAGGAGAGTGTAGCCAGTGCAAGGATGACCTGATAAGTAACTAAGGGGTGAGGGGAATTGGAAGTCACAGTGAAGAACAAATTTGGGGGTTATAAGGCAAGAGGGAAAGATGGAATGACAAAAGATTATGAGAAACTCAGGGTTTATGTACATGAAAGTGGAATATTTGTGGGTTATGGCAAGACCAAGGATATGACTGTTTTTATGTGTGCCTGGGGTGGAAAGAAGGAGTAGGTCATAAGAATTGAGTAGTTGAGTTGGAAAGTTTGGAGGTAAAAGTTTGGGGGAGAGAAACATTGTGAACTCATTGAGGGTGGAAGGAAAGAGAATGTTCTGGCTTTTTGTCATGAAGACCTAGATTTGGTGATAAATTCATTGAGTAAAGAATAAACTCTCCTACTCAGTGAATGAATAAATGAAAAAAATAGTTATTAAAAACCTTACCATTATGCTAAGCTCCAAGGATACTGATACAAAATTTAGAATATTCCTTTCCCTAAGGAAGGGGAGATAACACATAGAAGGTGGTGGCCAGTGAAGGATATTTTGGTTTGAGAATAATAGCTAGCATTTATGTAGTGATTTAAGGTTTGCAAAACACTTTGCAAGCATCATCTCATTTGGGAAATCATTGGGATTGTGAATGGAGTCATGATCAATATGCCCTTTCTTGGAGAAATGGAATGTTGATGCATGTTCCAAAGCTAGAAATCAGGGAAAGTAGGTTTTAGATTGTATGCAGTGCCAGGACAAATGCAAGGTTTAGTGGTTCAGAGGGTGAAGCAGCAGGCAGGATGAATGACAAGGTAAGAGTGGCCATCTGAGTAGCTCCTTATTACCACCAAAAGAAAGTATAGACTCTTATTAATCATTTAAAACTTTGTACCACTTGGCCCCAGTCAATTTTCCAGTCCATTCATTGCAGACATGGGTTCCCTCACCATTCTGTCTGGCCAAACTGTCCTTCTTGCTGTCCCTCACCCAGGACACTCTATCTTCATCTCTTTGTCTCTGCATATGTTCTCCTATGCCTGAAATATAACGTCCCCTCATGTCCACTTCTTAAAATTCCTTATTTCTTCTAAGACTCAGCTCAAGCATCACCTAAATTAAGCATTTCTTGATTTACTTCCCACCCTCATTTTCTACTGCCACCCATTCTAAACTTTCCTTGTCCATTTATTTTGCATATATTTTGTATATAATTTTCTAAGTGCAGGTTAGTTCTCCTGATAGAATGGAAGTTTTCTGAGGTCAGGACCTGTTGTTATTTTTGCCTTGGTTTCTCCATTGCTTTGCACAGTGATGGGTGCAATGGATGCTTATTAATTGATTGTCTCTCTGGTTTTCAGGTGAAGAATGATGTAAGGAGTGACATAGAGGAGGAAGACTGGAGTGATGAACAGCTGACAGTGATAGAGCAGAGCAGTGGGAGACTCCATCCCAACAGTGTCACAGACATTCGGGCCCGAGGGAATTTGAAGAACTGGCCAGTTTACAACTGAGCCTTTCCCAGAGCCATAACCTAGTCCAGCTCAATGAAGATCCCTGGATGCCTGAAGAACAAGTCACCCTGAGAAATGTCTCAGATTCTGACTGAATATGGACTCCATAGAACAAGTCCTGTGCTGGACAGGGGCCCTTCACTTCTGTCTCTCTGTTTATCTCTCTGACCCCACCTTTACTGGACCTCAAGGTTAGGGGAGGAAAGATGGAATATCTCTGTTGAGGATTTTATAGTGAATTTAGTAATCTTCTTTTGAATAGCCTTTACCCTTAAACTATTGTCCTTGGACTCCACTACTGAGGTCTGTCCCCATCTCTTAGAAGAACAGAGTGTGGGGAAGGGGGAGGCAGATTAAGAGGGAGCAGGAAGATCCATTGGAAGAGTCCCCCAGGGGTTACCCCGCATCCCTAAAGAGATCTGGAAGGAGATGGCTTCCCCCGAACCAGTGAAAAGGTCTTAGGCTTGCAGGTCTGGGACTGGAGTGGGCTGACTAGCCTTAGTCTTGTCTTTCCATTCCAGCAGGGCATCCTTGCTGGCAGATCTCAGGGAACAGAGAAGCCCATTCATGTTGGAAATGGATGTATGGAGCCTGGGCTTCACCCGACTCAAGGAGGGAACAATAAAACATGAATGATTCAGGGCTTACTGTTTCTGAGTCTCTGAACTCCTTCATTTCCAGGTCATTCCCTATTTAGTGTCCATCTTTATCACTTCCTATTTCCTCCACAATTGTCCTGGACACAAAAATCCTGAATCTCAGAACTGGGAGGGACCTTGTTGGGCGTCCAACTGAAGCCCTACTTGAGTGGATGAGGGCCCTCTCCAACAACCCCAACAAGTTGCCTTTCAACTTCTTCTTGAACAACAAAGATGGAGAGTTCACCTCCTACATCGATAGCCCATTCTACTGTTAGGCAGCTCTGAAGTTAGCAAATTCATTTCTATGTTGAGGCCAAATTTGCCTTCCTGAGTTGTTCTACTCTTCTACTCTTCACCTCTATGGATAGCAATGAGGAGGGATCAGGATGGGTAGTTAGAAATAAGGAAACTGGTTTGGCTACATCATTTTAGTCAGGTCAACCTCAGGATGAATCAGACATTGATGCATCCAAGGATCTGAATGGGGTCAGAAGCAGAATCCCCACAAATCCCCAACTCTTAATCCAGCCATCCCTTAACACACAAATGGATCTATGCACTCTGTGTTAGGACATTCCTTTCAATGTTACAGATTGCCATCCATCCATTCTGCTGATCTGGCACAAAAAATGAACTAAGATATGAAACTGGAGAAAAAGATAAATTGCCAGGGAAGCCCCAAACCCAACTCTATCCTCCGTTAATTCTCTAATCATTCAGTCAGTCACATGGTTGGGTGACCTGGGGCAGGAAACTAGTGGTGAGAAGGTGAGTCTTAAAAATGGGATTGAAGAAAGAGGACTTCAGGGTGGGGATAAGGAGCCAGATTTATGTGCCTTCCTGCATAAGCTTTCAAGATTCAAAGCTACAAAAGATCTTAGAGGTCATCTAAGTCAGCTTCCTCTTTTTCCAGACAGGGAAACAGGCTCAGAGAGAAGGGAGAATCACCCTAGGTCACACATTAGTAGATAGTCTTTGGGGGAAAGAGAGAAAGGTCATCCCATCAGCTGCCAGGTCTCTTAATGGGTCTCTTTCCTTCAGGGGAAGTAAAGAAACACCATTTCTTCAGCTCCCCAAACTGGTCTCTTCACCTGATCTGCCTAAGGCCTTGACAGGACTCTACCCTGAGGCTAAACTCCTAGAGATAGTGACAACTTGCCCGACTTCATTCCTCAATAATTAATAAGCTCCCACTTGACATACCCTCACCATTCCAGTGATTGTGAATCTCTAGCTTTCATCATTCAAACCTCATTTTCTTCTCCCAATGCCTAATGACTTATTCCATTTCTCATATCCAAATCCCACAATCCCCATGTCCCACTTTAAGGCTAGTCACCTCTTCCTCTGTGCCCCCTGGAATGACTGATCCATAGGCAACAAGCTTGTTTTCATCTTAAATCTTTTGCTTTTCCATTCTTTTCATCATTTGACTTTCATTGAGACCTTGCTCCCTTCTGATGACACAGCCACTCTTTGCATCATTGGTCACATTTTCCCTCATTTCTCCCTCTTACCCTGACTCAATGGTCAAGATGGGAAAGTTGGTATACTTTTGCCTCCACTGCCACTTCTAGACTCTTCCTCTACTCCCACCACTCAGTAACTCCCACCCAATCAAAATTCTGGTTGCTGTTATCTACCACCTCCCAGACACTACACTTCTTTCATCAATCAGTTCAGTGCCTTGCTCATCGTCTTTTTTCTACAAATCCTGCTCTTATACTAAGGAACTTCAACAGAAAAAGAGAGAGAGAGAGAGAGAGAGAGAGAGAGAGAGAGAGATATTCCTTCAAATACCTTAATCTTATAATTCCTTAGTTTGCTTATTTCACATGACCTCCTCCTCCACTGTATCTCAGCTACACAGAGGTGGTCATATCTTTGATCTTGCCATCATCCACAAATACACCACTTCCATGTTCATTAAATCTGAAATCTCCTTATCTGATCACAATCTGTTTTCATTCTACATCTCTTTTTTGTCTTGAAACTCCAAACTCTATTCTTAATTCTCATGGTGCCCTCCAATCAGTTCTCTCTCAAGCCATCATCCTTGAACTGGCAACACTCTCCTCCTTTCTGCACTTAACTCCTTGGCAAACAAATTCAACTTTTTATCTGTTCTCTTTAGTCCCTTTCCCTATATCCTATTTTTCTTCTGAGCTTGCTAATTCTCCTTGGATTACTCCAACCATATACCACCTCACTCCTATTCACATGCTGCTGAACAAGGCTGGAGAAAAAAATTGCAAACCATGTTGATTGGGCACACCATAAATTTGTTACATAATCTCAAAGGGCCTTTACTGTGGCCCTTTTAAACCTCCCTAAGTACCTCACTATACCACTCACCACAGCATTTTCCAAACATTTTTGTCCCTTATCAAACCTTCCATGGCTCTCATGGTTGGCAACCTTGCCTGATATTTCACTGAAAAAAAAGCAGTTTGAATTCAGGCCCAAGGTATACCCAACACTGCTGCCTTGGTGTGCTACAATGAACTCTTTTTATCTTTTTTCCTGAGTTTGCCCTATTAATCAGGGTGAGGCCTCAATGGAGATTTTCTTTTAACAACTTGGTAAGCCAGCTAGAAAGTGCCATTCACTAGTGTGACTATCACTAAATTGATTTTGGTATTACTAAATGTCACTATTTTGATTGCATGGCAGGCACTTGGACCTTTGACCAAGCACAGGCCACAATGGACTCTCCTGAAAATTAGTCAGCCATGAAGCAGTTGGAGAAGTAAACTCCCCAAACTAAAAAAATGTAAGGAGAAATAGGTCCAGAACCAAAAACTGATTTTTTTATTCATTTGTGCATGAAGAAAAGGAAATGCAAGTGCATGGAAACAGGGCAGTGGTGAGTGAATGGTTTTCCCCAACTTTAAGTTGCCAGAAGATAAAGTGATAATAGTATTAAAACCAGATTGGGACAGGGTAAACTTTTTGCTGACTTTCACTTAGGCAAGCCCTTAAAAGCTTGGGATAATGGAATACTGCCCATTCAAACAAGAATGTTGAAAGCAAGCAACTGGACTCATTACCTAGACAATCGATGGAAGCAAATTTGGCCAGATAAATATAAAACCTTTGATTATTGGCAGCTGCACATTCTAAAAACCAACACTGAAGAGCCTAAGAAAAACGGTTTACTGGTGTTGTGGGAATGGACTTTCAAGCCAAGACTGCCCCTCATTAATGTGGTCATACAATCCAGATTTCTCAAAAAAACAAAGACCACGGTATTCTTAAGAAACCACTTTTGTAGGGAATGATCAGGGAAGAGGGAAGTAAAGACCTTGGTGGGCCCCCAAGAAAAGAGAAATGCAGGCAGTGGGATGGGAGGTTTCCACTTCAGAAGTTCTGAAACATGGAAAAAGGTCTTTTTACCTTGGAGAACTTTGCAGAGGAACACTTCATCACCTACAAAAAAAACTTCAGTGAGACAGCACAGAAAGGAAGTTTAGAAGAGTGGTGAACACTAATGAAGTCTCAAAACAATTCTCAGCTGTCAGTAATATTAAGCAGGGACTTGTTCCCACTGGATTTTTGATTAGTTGTTCAGTGAGAGATAAGGAGGAAAACTGCAAGATTCTTTCTTTCTCTCTCTCTCTCTCTCTCTCTCTCTCTCTCTCTCTCTCTCTCTCTCTCTCTCCCTCTCTCTCTCTCTCTCTTTCTTTCTTTCTTCCTTCACAACCCTGGACAGGTTGGAGATTGCAGAAATAAAGCCTGACAAGAAAAGGATGGAAATCTTTTTCCTGGTTTGTAGAAATGTATGGGATTAAAACGAATTTTAGGGAAATACCTGTTAGCTTTCTCATACAGATAATATTCTATCAAGTTATAACATTTAACAAATGGAAACCATAGAAATAGATTTGTAGTATGAAATTATTTGAGTATAGCATACAAAAAACTCTGTCCTTGAAGGATCATTGGAAGGGTTATGCCACTCCCAGTCTAAGTGAGGGTAATTACAAGTTTGCTTATAGTAAAGAGTGAGTTTGAGCTAAGATTATTTGACCATCACTAATGAAAATTATGAAATTGTATCTGTTAATAGATAGTGTATATTGAAGTTACATCTTTGAACCAACTTAGTAATAATAGACCTCAGTTTCAAAGATTTCATTTTGCCTTAAAGGTGAAGAAGCAATACAGATTGGAATCTTTCTGTAATCAGCTTTTTTCTGGGATTTTGAGTCGACTACCATGTATTTGCTGTATGGGTGAAACTCCAGAGCACAGTTTTTCTTAATTTATAAATGAAGGATAAATGAAATGTCCTTATATGTGCCATTGTTAAGTGCTATTTCACTAGTCTTAAACTGTGATTAGTGAAATTTTGTTGTTTGAGGTAAAATCTCTTGGGATTGTTATTTGATACTGTTTTAAGTTTTGATTTCAGGTGTAATTGTCTGAATTGTCATTAAGCCAATTATCCACCATTCAAGGGGAATGCTATGTGCTACCCAAAGGTAGGGCAGTCTGAGAACTGCTACAGGTGAAGGTCTATGTCTGGGAAAGTTGAAGGGATGTACTTGCATATAGGTGATGGAAGGATCCTTTTGATCAGATTCCCTATCATGCTATTTCCTTTCTGAACAAGAAATTTTTCCACTAGGTTAATTCTAAGCCTGGCTTTGGTATCCTGTGAATAATGTGGAACTTTGTTATATGATTCACTGTTAACTATGACTTTTACCTGGAATCAAATAAAACTAAGGGAGGTTTTCCCCTGTTATGGCTTATGTCAAATCAATCTGTGCCCTTGAAGGGATGGTCTTGATATAGTCACAACCATGTTCCTCTCTTTTTCTTCCATAGCAAATTTCTATTATCAGGGCAGGTAAACAGTGGAAGTTTTGTCATTGTAATACTAAATGTATTAATTGACATATTAATACCAAAAACACCTGAGTTACTACAAAATATGATGCAAGTATAAAAAAAATTCTTATTATTTTTAATCTGAATTTGTGGCCAGCTCCATATCCTGAGAAACTAAGTAAAAGCATTCTTAGACTTGCCATCTCCTTAGTAATGGTTTTATATTCATGTATAAGACAAGGTCCTTGAAATATTTCACTCTTTCAGGATGGTATGAGAAATATATATATGTATATGTATGTATATTAACACACACACACACACACACACATATATATAATATATATGTATATATACAAGTGCATATATAAGTATGTATGTATGTAAATATCCTCAAAATGAGAGATAAGATAAAGGTATAAAAGTGTTTTAAATTTTTGCTGTAGTAGTAAACTTTGGGAAAGCTGCAAAATTAACTGTTGTCAATCTAAGGACTAGAATATTACACACACACACACACACACACACACACACACACACACAATTGGTTTCCAAATGTTTCTAATGTAAATATAGGCTTTGAATTCTAGTAATAAGTTCTAAAATTGGATTAAAGATTTTACATATATATTTGCATTAATAATTGTAAAGAGATTTTGAAGTCATATTTTTCCTATTTTGAAGTCTCTGATAATGTAAGTGGAGAGAGTAAGTGGAGAGAGTGGCTCATTTTCCATATCAGGCCTTCTTTCTTCAGTCCGTAGATGACATTGTCCATATCAGATACACAGTTTGCGTAAAGATAAAAAGGGAAAGTGTTATGTAAAAACTGAAATTCTCTGAAGTTTCAGGTAAATTATGGGTTCCTAATTTGGTGTTCTTCTTATAGCTCTGTTGTTAATAGGATTGGGTCCATAAGGTCTGAACAGGTTTTTACCACATGAACTGGTAGGCCAATGTGATTAGATTTTGTCAAATTTTATAAAATTATACTAAGTCTTATCACTAACAGGTTTTTAGCAGCACAACCTAGACAATCTTCACAAGTGACCTGGAAGTTGGAGATAGTTGAGGAAATACCTCCACAAACCTGCCATGATCCATGCACAGCTGTTTGAGGGAAGCACAAGAGATGCTTACTAGAGTCCTGAAGAACATGGACACTGCCAAAGGACACTGCCATTGACACTCTTCAGGCTGTAGCTATGTTGAGTTTCTGTATTCACCCTATTGTAATTTTCCTTGTTTTATTAGTTCTGTGTGCTATGGACCTGTAAACTATTTTTCTTTTCTGCTTGTACTGATAGCAGTTTGGGAGCCAAGTTTGCTGATCATGATTTGCTCACGGGGTTTATGCAGAGGCCCATCATGTGATCTCTAGCTACCTTTCTTGTCAACAGTTTAATTCCTCAAGGAAGAAAACTATGAGAAAAGCAGGAGGAATTGAATGGCCCTTTTAGCACTTGCAGATTGACTTTATTGAACTGCCAAAGTCTGTGGACTAAGAGATGTTTTGGTGTGCAGAGATCAATTGAGCACTGGGTAGAAGCTTTTCCAGATTCTGCGACACCAAGGTTGACAAGTGGAGGACCCGGATACATCACTCCCTTTTGAAGCCTGCCCCAAAAGGATGCAACTCCTGATCAACCTCTGGACCCAGTTAAGTTGAAATGGGACCCCAACACCAATCAGTGGTCTTTGGCTGCTTGTTTGTTTGAATCTAATAATCAGGACACAATCCTTCACTTGTTACCTACCATACATTTGTTGTTTGCATTTTATGCCTTGCTTTGCACCCTTGGGGTGGAAGAACATGAGAGCCCAACACTTATGTGCATCTGATCCAACATGCCAGTCATGCTTTTAAATGGACCAACTTCTGGATATGTGCACACATTCTTTTTGTCCTTGGGAGAAGGGATGACCCTGGTAGACATGGGAGCAGACCTCCAGGACTTATGTGATTATTCTTTTGCAATCAATTAGATAACAACACCAAATTGTACTGCCATGGACTGGAAGCATGAGTCCTCTCTCCCATTCACTTTTAATTGGAAAAAGAGGGCAAACCGTTTGCAATTCTCATCTCATTTTGCACTTGTGACACATTATCAGTCTGCCAGTTTGGTGTTATGAACAAAATGAAGCACTAGGACAGGAAATGGAATTGCAAATGTGACGTAATTATTCCCTATTCCTGAAAAGAAATGGGACCATTCAGGATGGAAAGTGCATTCTAATAATTTTTCTTAAGCTTGGAGGCCTGGCATATATGAGCATTTTTTTAATATCCCCACAGGGATTTTATTTCCTGGTAACCAAAAAGAAAAAAAAGCATATTGTTGGCTTCCTCAAATTGGATGGGCAAGTGTGGGTTGGAACAAGTGCTTTTGGCCTCTGGCCCACACCTACCCTGCCTCTTAGCACACACTTGCAAAGCAAACATACAGCAATCCAGGTTTCTATTCCACTTCCCACTTTAATGAGAGCACCTGAACATACTTTTCCCATCATATTACCCATTTATGGGACCAGATAGAGTCCAACACTATTGAACAAAATGAACATATTTTTATAAGTATTTGTTAATGAAATTGTAGGTGCAGTGGAGAACCTTAATACTGAAATCCACACATGCTGGGACTGTGGCCTTACAAAATAGGTTGGCTCTAGATTTCTTCCTGGCAGAGAGGGGAGGGGTATGCCTCTTGTAGGTCAAGAGTGCTACTCCTGGGTTCCTGACAGCTTTGACAACATCATACCCACATGGACTCAATTTGGAATGCTTGGAACTACTTCCAGGAAGAGGGAAAGGAATGCTGGTCCCCCTGACAATGGCCAACATCTTGGCTTCCAGGTCTTTCATGACTTTCTTTTGTGTGCCCTCATAGGGATTGTGTACTGTTTATGTTTATAATGTGTGCCCTCATAGGGATTGTGTACTGTTTAAGTTTACAATGCCTCCTTTCGTGCAAAGAACTGATTCCCAAGCCAATTCCCAAATTACAGGCAGCAGAGATTAGGATGATGCAGTTGAGGAAAAAGGAATCATAGAATCCATTATGCACCATAAGTAAGGTTAGCACCAAAAGAGAGATTATTATGCAGAGTCAAACACTACTGCTGAATCAATCTGAGGGACCTTATGTTGCTCCCTTGCCTGTCCTTTGGGGTACGTGCCAGCCAGCTCACAGGAAAGGACAGTCCACCTGCATAATGATCCCATTTCCTTAGCACTAATCTCATCTCCCTATAATGCTGTAATAGGGGAGGAGCTGAGGCAGCACTAACACCATCTCTTCATTGAAACATATGCTAGTCAAGATTGTCTTTCCCTTACATAGAAGTTATTTAATCTTGTGTATAAAAGCCCTGCAGTTTGAATCCCAGGGCTCTGGCCACACTCAACACTGGTGAGCTACAATAAACTCCTTTTGTCTTATTTCGCAAATTTGCCTTATTAATCAGGGTGAGGTCCAAATGAAGATTTTTCCTTTTAACACTACCACATTGACATTCCTTGCACATTAGTCCAACCAGGTTACTTCTCTATTCAAGAAGGTTCAAAGATTCCCTATTGCCTCTACGATCAAATGCAAACTCCTACGTTTGGCATGCAAAGTGTTTCACAGTCTTGGCTGTAGCCCATCTTTCTAGACAGATGCTACATTTCTCCCTCACATGTAATCTGTATTCCAGCCAAACTGCCCTACACCTGGTTTCTTTTTAATGATATTCCATTTCCCACTTCCGAACCTTTGCATACCTTTGCACAGGTCATGCCTGGAAGGCTTTTCTTCCTCACCTTTGTTTCTCAGAACCCTCAGCTCCTCCCACTTCCTACAAGAAGCATTTTGATTCCCTCCTCCTCCTCAGGCAATAATAAGCTCCCCAAAATTGCTGTGTATTTATTTGACATATATTCAGTATTTATTCATCTATGTACTATTTTTAACCCCAATAGAATGTAAAGTCTTTGAGGGCAAGAAATGTTTTCTTTCTGTCATTGCATAGTGCCTTGAATAAAGTAGGTACTTACTAAGTTCTGGCTAAATTGAATTGTGGAGGTCTCTTTCATGTTGGTTTCAGAGACTAACTCAGTATGGGCCCCTTCTTCCCCCTCTTTTCCAAACACAGCAATGCCAAGGCAGAGACCAGGATGTGGCTTAAGAAATGTTTTGCTTGGGTGACCTGCCCCCATGGGCTCTGTGGTGAAGGGAAGAAGGCAAATCCTTGGACCCTGGCCCCAGAGACTAGGCTAAATCCCTGTGGAATGAAGCATGCCCCCCTGATAGGTTCTTGGAGGCCTTCAGTTCATTAGGGGCAGAGTGTCCACTCTTTGAGGATGGGGAAGCTGGGTGAGTTTGTGAGAGAGGATGTATTTCCCATATTCACCAGGAATTGAGGTCTTCCCCTCTCTCCCTCCACCCACCATGTTTTGCCCTATCCTAATGTCTTCAGGCTCATTTGATTTACCTGGCCTATTCTCCCCTTCACCAGTGTTTTGCTTTTGACCACCGCCTCCTTCAATCCCTCCCCCCTTTTATTATCCCTTTCCCTTTTCTTCCCCTTTAGTCTTACTGCTGCTTCCCTCCCTTCTTTTCCCCCTTCCCTTTTCTTTCCCCTTTTCCCTCCTACTGCCCATAGGGCAAGTTAGATTTCTATACCTAACTGATTATATTATGCCCTTCTTGAGCCAAATCTGATGAGAGTAAGGTTCAAACAATGCTCCCCCTCCTTCTTTCCCTCTGTTGTAACAGGATTTTGTGTCTTTTCCTGTAATGTAATTTACCCTTGTCTGCCTCCTCCTTTCTCAATACATTTTCTAAGATCAGATTGATCCACTTATTTGGATCCATTTAACCCACTTGATTAGATTTTTTTTATCATTACATCAAAGTCAACTAATATCCA